GAGATGCCTGATATAAGATCTCTCGTTTAAATAAGTTTAAGAGATTTTCACAGTATTAATTACCCTAAAAAGTCCAAAGCTTATATTCGTCATAAAAACGGCGGTTGATAACAAGTCACTAAATAAGACTACTTGACGTCATCACGTGTGAAGAGAAGTCATGCGACGTTAGCGGTTTACTACTGGCGATTGTATTTATGCTTCAGAAATTACAAAGTGTTGTTAATATTAGAAGGCTATCCTGCTGATCAAAACATGTAACTATCATTAACGTGTGAAAATAAAATGAAAGCAATGCGTGTCCCACCGAATTTGCTGTGCAAAACCATATTAACGTCCACAGATGGTTCTAATTCGGCACCTTGTTCCTTTTCTACTGCCTATCTAATCAAAGCCATTGATCTTGTTACCTGTCACCCAGCTAACTAAATTCCTCAAACACAAACCAATAGATGATTTGTTTATCTATTTATTCCATCTGAAGAACAGGGAGTAATGTAACACTGAGGTATGACAGTTGTCTAATACTGACAATAACTGGCAGAACCCAGGCATTTAAAAAAGGAGAAATTTGTTTGAACAATATGTTGTGCTGGAACAAAGCAAAAGTAATGTCATGTTCATTGTTCACCATGCTCCACATAACACCACAACAATAGTTTTTATTTCTTGTTGTTATGTAGCAGAATAAGACTAAGTCTGTATTTTGTTGCATAACTCTGTTGTATAATGACAATCCTTGTATTGTAAAACTTTACGTATACTATGCATACATTGAAACAAAGCTTGCAAGATAGTGCTGCTGCTGTTCTTAAACCAGCCCTGCCACCACCTTAACATTTACATGTGCGCTCTGAGTTTAAGCTTTAAAATATCAACCTATTATGTTCTGCATTATTAGAATTTCTAAACAAATATAGCATTAAACCTCAAAAGACTATGCAGCAGCTGGGTTCAATTCATGTTTGTGCTTCTATTTCAGTTTTTTCTTTTCCTTTCTCCTCTATAGCTTCAAGTTGCATTACATTGTACTGTATATTAACAAAATCTTACCTGTGGGGTTCCCCAAGGCTCGATTTTGGGCCCCATCCTTTTTCTACTGTACATACTGCCCCTAGGTTCAATTCTCACAAAACACAACATCCCCTTCCACTGCTACGCCGACGATGTACAGATCTATCTGCCACTCAATTCAAATGTAAACTCATTACAGCTATTGATGGACTGCTTAGCAGAGATCAAATCCTGGCTGAGCCAAAATGTCCTCAATGAGAGCAAGACTGAGGTTATCTTTTTTGGACCCCAACCTCCAGCCTCCCAGGTTGATATTCTGGGATCCCTCAAAAATAATATCCTCCCCTCTGTCACGAACCTTGGAGTGACCTTCAATAGCGCTTTTAAATTTGATGAGCAGGTCAGCAGCGTAGTCAAAACCTGCTTTTTTAAAATACGACTATTGGCCAAGACCAAGTCGTTTTTATCTTTTAAAGACCTGGAAAGGGTTATTAACGCCTTTGTTACCTCGAGGTTGGACTACTGCAACGCTCTGTACGTGGGTATGGACCAGGCGTCAATTAAACGCCTGCAGCTAGTGCAGAACGCAGCTGCACGTCTTCTGACTGGCCACAAAAAGCGTGACCACATCACCCCAATTCTGGCCTCACTGCACTGGCTTCCAATTCGGTTCCGAATTGATTTTAAACTCCTTTTATTTGTTTTTAAAGCACTAAATGGGCTGGCTCCAGCCTATATAGCTGAACTCCTCCAGCGCTACACCCCAGCCAGAGCTTTAAGGTCTGCTGACCAGCTGCTGCTGGTAGTGCCCAAGACCAGGCTTAAAACCCGAGGGCACCGAGCCTTCGCAGCAGCTGGCCCTAGGCTCTGGAACACTCTGCCCCTCCATGTGAGGTCGGCCCAGACCCTAGGGGTTTTTAAATCTACTCTTAAAACACACTTCTTCTCCCTGGCCTTTTAGTCAGAGCGGAGCACGACTTCCTGACTTTTCCTTGTGTTTTTTTATTTTTTATATATCTGTTGTAATTTATTGTCTTTTATTGTGATTGTAGTAATGTGTTTTTATGATTGTAGTATTTATTACATGTACAGCACTTTGGCCTGACCAAAAATCGCTTTTAAATGTGCTTTATAAATAAACTTTGATTTGATTTGAATCTAAATCCTGCCTTAATGCATTTTCAGTTTTTGTCTTGGTCCAGTCCAGACCCTCTGAAGTTAAAAGGTTTGTTATTATTTTTCTAAAGGTAGTGCAGGGTTTGCTAAAGTGCTCTTTGTAATCATTGTAACCACATGGAACACTGACGAATGGCAGGATGAATCACATTTAAACAGAAATGGAAAAGGAAATTATGCGACTGTTTGAAATTTATCTCTCACTACTTCCTGGGCTCTGAAGTAGTTTCATCTCGTTAATGTCTCCATGCTGCCATATTGATTTGAAATGTTTCAGTTGTTAAAAACCTGTTCAAACTGCTTGGCCTAAATCTCATCAACTTTTGTATGGATTGCCATGAAATGTTGTGCAGACACCCATGTTCCCAAAAGAATAAACCATAAACTATTGTTCAACCAGGAGGCTGACATTAGTGATTCTAGTGTCCAACTGAACTTATCATGTTCATCATTTTTTTTTTTTATCATATAATATTTGTTCCTGACGTGTTATATTTGATTGACAGCAGCTGGCAGGCTGGCCTCCAGCAGGGGAACAAGATCGTTTTAAAGTAACTTTGGCAGACGGTGTTGTTAACATTGGTCCTGTAAAGTAGCCAACCACATTTCCATTTGTACATTAAAATTATGTTTGTGCTGCAGCTAACTAGCTAATTCGCTAACTTGCCTGCAGAAAGTTTCACGTCACATTTTAATTTGTCAAATGTATAACCAAATGCCTTAGATAACTGAAATGATCATTTGCCTTTTCTGTACTGTATGTCTATATATTGCAAATACTGTGCATGTAAACTCGTTAAACTCCTGCCAAAATGCTGCTATAATTTCAAGCTATAGCTACCTGACCATTAGCATGTTAGCTTTGTCCTTTCAAACACGATGGCATAACGTTAGCATTCACTCAAATCTCATTTATTGGTGTAATTGCAAAGCCAGCAGTAGGAGTAACCACCTTGGAAAAATGTGTGAACACACAGTTATGTGTGAGGTTTCCTATTCTTCTCACTCTACACAAGTTGTGTGAGGGCTACGCTAGCAAATCTTTACAGAGCTACTAACATGGCTGTAGACTTGTATTTTGAGAAAATCCGTTATTTTTACAGTTGTGAGGAAATGTTGGAGTGTGAAACTTTTGACAAACTGTTGACAACAACTTTCACCCGTATCTGGGATGCGTGTGTATTTGGCTTCTGAGACCCCATTTACACGGGAACGTTTGCGCCGGTCAACATGTCCGTTAAAGTTGAAATCTTCCGGACAAAATTAGTAAAGTGCCGGTCAGAGGTCTTCTTTGTTATTTATTGAGCTTTAAAACAAATTGATAACGACTCTATATAATAATATAAGAATAATAAACGGAGCCTCTCTTTTCCTCCCCCTCTTCTGACAGCCCAGCAGCTGATCTCTGAGCAGGAGAGGTGGGGAGAGGGAGACGTGGGGAGAGGGAGGCGGGGCTATTTCATCGTTATCAGAAAATGATTGCATAGAGGCGTACACACGGAGCCGTTTGACCCCCCAGAGCGTTCCGCTTGCAGATCTATCCACCTTGGGACCCGTTATCGTTTGCGGGGTCCGTTTCTATCGTTTTGTTACGGCCTTGTGTAAACGAAAGGGCTATACGCAAGAGAAACTATGCGGATACAACCCGTATCGTCCTCGTGTAAACGGGGTCTGACAGTGAGACTACTCCAATCCTTAATCTAGTTAATAGCATTATAAAACACACGTCATACCTTAAGAGTAAGGCAATGTCAGAACCATAAATCCTTACTGCAGGCTGTATTTAAAACAGTTTTTGTTTGTAAAACTCAGTCTGCCAAATATGAAACATAATAAATATAATGAAATACAAGAAGAAATCATAAAATTCAATAAGAATCAAAGGCTGCTTTCCTGTGCTGTTATCATCTGTGAATCACGGAAACCACAAATTGGCAGCTGCACTCCCTTGGATTACTTACAGGAGTGAGTACATCCGCGGTTTCTATGTCGCCTGAATGAATTATCAGATGTTTCCAGTGTCACACTACTTTGTTAACCTTTACGCCTGCTTATTCAGCTCCCTCCGGTGTGCAGGCGAGGGGAAACCCATTCCAGGTGTTATAAATAAGATGGTGGAGGGGTAAAGAAGGTGGATGGTGTTGAGCTGAGTGTTTTAATCAGCCCCTTACCATTCCCTTCCCTGTGGCCTTCCACTCATCTCATTACAGACAGTACAGGGTGAGAAGTGAGGCCTGCATAGACCTCGGCATTAATTATTGAAACATACCTTCTTTTACTCCAGCTCCTCCTCCGGAGTCTCTGATGACCTTAACTCTCAGCCATTATACAATTTTCTAGGCGTAGCACAGATATCTAGAGACCCAATTTGGGAATCCACCCATTCAGGGACTGTGCTTCCTAATAGCCTGCATGTGACATGTTTGCCTACACAAGCAAATATATAGCGCTTCTTTTTAATTGCCTTTTAATTGTTCCTCGTCGCTCCGGTTGAGCTTCTGTGCTAATTAAATCCACCCTGTTTTCAATCGGTACTGTTGTGATAAAGTAAAGCGAATAATTATTAAAGCTGACATTTGACTCCATGCATTGTCTTTGTCATGTTGGCCGAGTTATGCTCTGCTCATTTGCCTCCTGCCGTGCCCAGTCAATTTGAATCGCTCAGTTGGAGGCCGGCTAATGGAGGTTTTTGAGGTCAGCATGGCCAAAGCATTGAGACAACTTGAGGGCAACGTCACAGTGATGCAGAAAATCTCACTCTTATCTCCTTCTGTCCCCCGTCCCTGTCTCTTTTTTTTGTGTGCATGCAGGTTTGAAAAGTCAACATCAAACCGCGACCTACCAGAGCCTCTGAGCAGGAGAGAGAAGACGCTGCCAAGATGTTCAGCACCAAGAGGTCAGCACAATGTCACTTTTGATATATTCTTATCTGCTCAAAAAAAACAAGCCCGCAAGAAATCTCAGGGAATTTCAAAATGGCTTCTGCTGATAATGGCTGACATTTCTGGTCAGCTACATTCCGCTGATTACTATGGATATGAAAGACGTTGATGTGAAGAAATGTGAAGGTTGATTCCAGTTCCCAAGACAAAATAACCCCTCTTTATTTGTTGTTAAGTTTCATCTTTAAAGCCGGCTGATCAAAAGTTGTGTTCAATGGCATTAAAACGCATACAAACGCTGCTGAAGGTTAATCCAATGTCTCTGTGTCACTTTGAAATGATTACTGATAATCCATCATAACATTTTTGTCAAAAACAGACTTTTCATATAAAGTGTATGAGAGCTGTAACCCAGCTTCCGGTTTTGGGCTTGCTGGCTGCGCATCACTCATTCACCAATGGGTAATGTTTATATGGATTTAGGAACTTCCCCTCGATTCTATTGGCTCTAACGGTTCAAAAGTGGTGTCAATCACCAAAATCGACCGATGGGTTCCAGAGATATGGAAAATGCACCCAAATGACCCCAGAAGTGTTTTGTTTGTTTCTAAATCTCTCTTAAAAAGGTCAAATTTCACTTGTTTTGCATCAATCTTGATACAGGGTACTTATTATATGTTATAGTTTGGATTCCTAAAGCATTTAGTCTATCCCATCATTCAAGGGTGGTTTTCACTATAAGTAATGTTTTTTTTTTTGTTCAATCTGAATTTACTTTAAAATAAACATCTATATTGATTCTGACTTTTCTACATCCAACTCAACTATCATTGCTTTGAGAAAAAAGATTATTAATTTACCCCTTTTTAGAAGTGAAGTTATAGTCATTTGTTCTGGGAATGTCATTTTCGAGCCTGAGACCTGAAAAACAGGCTTGGGGCTTAACAGGTTAATACATACAGTTAAGCCATAAAGCAAATTCACGCAGTAGGCATATAGATTAAAACGTAAAGTAATAGCATACAGAACAGTACAGCTTACAAAGAACAAATACAATCTCATCCTTTTACAACAAACACTAAATGCTCTTTTTAGGTTTTTACTAACATTGTAATCCGGCTAGTAATACACAATTTGTAGCAATATAACAGTAATCTAATTCCTTTTTTTTTATGTAACGGCAAGGGAAAACTGTTATCTATTTTGTATCCTGATTATGCAATCCCAGTACATGTATTCTGTTACTCCTCAAGCCTGTGTAGACCCCAGAGAACCCTTTTAAACCGAAGTGTAAATACTCTCACACAGCCTTTGTATGAAGTGTAGGTAACCTAGTTCACAGTCCTCCTGTGTTGTGTGTACATTCTGTATTTTTGATGTGACCTGCAGTAGCGTACAGTCTGCATAAACTATTTATCACTTAGGCTATTCTGAATGTTGACTGCAAGGTAGAAGCGGTCACATGTTTATCTAGTATGTGTAAGGTGGGTGTGTTGGGTGGACCAAAACAAAATTATTCTGGTTGTTTCTCTCATGTTGTTTAAATGGAACAGTCCACAGCTTGGGTTGGGTTTACATTAAAGTGTATTGTCTACTCGGAACAACTCATGAACTAGTTTTGAGCAATTCCATGAACTGTAATAGTACATTAGGAATGGATAAGGTTGCAGTGTGCAGGCTTTTTCCCTTAAAATCTCATTTTGTTTTGACAGCCTTCAGCTATATATCCATATGAGGTTCTGTGAAGGAATTGCAGCCTGCCTGACTGTAGCTTTTCAACAGGAAATATTAAATCAGTTGATGTGCATTCAATCTGTATATATTGGATAGTCCAGCACATCTACAGCATGTACAATATAAATATATATCTATCATACAGAATCTAGTAGGAGGTGACTATAAACAAAACCCCTCTTCCTAAATAGAGGTCATTCATACTGTAGCTTGGCAACAGTAACAAGGCACGGCTGGCCTGTCAAGCATTGGATTTCCTCAACATGATGACGCAGTGTGCATGGGGCTGTGGTAAGAGAAGGACTAGTACGTTTGCATATTTTTGAGTAGTGGAGTGAAATGTGCCATGTTTGCCTCTGAACTGTAGTGGAGTAGAATTATAAAGTAGCTTGAAATGGAAATACAAATGGCCTGATGTAACGTACATATATATCAAAAGTTAGCAAAACTTGTAAATGTACTTAGTTACTTCCCACCACTGGTCATAAAGCCCTTATAAAGTGAAATTGATCATTGAAACTTCAAAATCAAATAATAAAGCATTAAATCTACCCTTTCGGTTTCTGGTCCCACCAACCAAGCCTAGCATCTCAATGTGAAATGACACAGTCTGATGTTACATTTTTCTCCCTGTCTCCATATTTCAATACAAGGGCTAACTAGCTGTACACTGCAATACAACATACAGAACCCAATTATTTATTTCCATGTCTTCCCTTTTTGGGGTTTGAGGAGCTAGAGCTGTTTAATAGTTTGCTGGTTACACGTTGTATGCGTTGTAGGTCAATGCCAATCCTAAAATGCAGCTCTGGAAAAGATTAAGAGACCCTGCAGCACTATCAGTTTCTCTGGTTTTACCATTTATAGGTATGTGTTTGAGTCAAATGAAAACAAATATATATGTCATTCTATAAACTACTGTCAACATCCTCTGTGTTGGAATTCAACAGAGACTGGAATGGAATGGCTGCCACACATGTAGAGATTGAGATTTAAGAAAGAGTGGTCTCTTAATTTTTTTTCTCCAGAGCTGTATTTTGTTGTCAGTCGGGGACAAAATGTACACTAAATTAGAGAGGCCCTATTGTGCTTTTTGGGGTTTGCCCTTTCCCATTTGTTATAGTTTTTTTTTTTTTGTGCATGGTCTGCAAAGGCCAAATTCCCCCCTTCCAGAAATGCCTTGATTGAACTCCTTTATTTACTTCCGTAACATAATGACATCAATATGAACACACACTCTTCTATTGGCTAGTGCTCAAACACATTGCGTGATAGGCTAAGCAGAGGGACATATCTAAGTGGTTGACCAATCACAACAGAGCCAGCAAGCCAATCAGACCAGACTGGGCTCTGGTTTTAGACGGAAGGTGAAAAGAGGTGCTGGCAGTATTAGAAAAATAAGGACATTTGTTAACATTAAAGCATGTAAACATGTCACAGTAAAAGCACAAAATACAAATATCAACCTGAAAATGTGTAGAATAGGGTCCCTTAAAGTTTTTTTGTCAGCCAGGACAAAATGTCCACAAAATTAATAAAGCAATGTGTTTACAGTAGGACGTTTCTGTTATGGTAGGATGTGGGTGGGTAAGGTATCATGATGTGATGGGGACTGTGCTGTCACGATGCAGCAATAGCATCCATCCTCCGTCTCCTCGCAGTGTGTGATCATCTTGCTGTGGGTTAGAGGATGATTAAACCAAGCCAGCACTCCATCTTCAGGGAGCTGTGTCAGCACAGTCCATGACACGGATACGCTCAAAATGACTGTAATAGGTTGCAATCTTGGAACTCGAAAGACTCCAAAAGCTCATTCAGATTTCTGCTGAATACGAAACAAAGCCTTTTTCTCTCGCTAAACTGCTGAACGAGACAGAAGGCGAGTGAGGAAATCTGTGTTTGTCAGAGATAGCTATGTGCTGTTGTGGCGTTATCTGTTGGTTTTTAATATTGGTTTTCCTCTTGCGTTCCCTCGAGTCATCTCAAACAACACAATGCCAGAGCCAAATTAAAAGTCTTGCATTAACATTTAATCAAACGTCTTAACATGGCAGTTTGGCTTTGATTTGAATGGAATGAAGTGTGGAACCGAGGCATGGAAAATAAATCCAAAGCATTTGCACTTTTGTGCGTCTGACTTTGTTTAATGCGCTCGCCTCTGATGAACCGCTTCACTGTTATGGATAAACTGAGAGCGCACGTATCCACTGCTTGATGGTTTGTGTCTACATGTGCTCATTAAAATGTAACTGGAGCGCCGTTAATCTGAGTCTTTCATTCCGAATGAGAACATTTATGAAGTGATGCACCATAGCTTTGATTTGGGTTACACATTTAAAGCCTTCCTTGCAGCAGCTGCTTTTGCCTGCTAGCATAAATAACGCGGAATATGGTTTTTTTCTGATTCCTTCTAGCTTTGTGAGTAAAAAGTCATTATGGCCGAACAATAAAAAAAACCTGCTATAATTACGGATGATTTTCCAAAGAAATATGACTTCAACACATGCTCAAGTGAGATCTAAAACACACATGCAATTACAGCTTATCGCCTTAGGTGGCGCCAGAAAAAACTAATATTTACCAAGGCCGTACAATCAAAGAAATGCACAGTAATTACAGGGGTTTCTTAAAAAAAGGATGACTTCAAGACACTTAAGTCAGATCCAAAATGCACCTGCAAAACTTAAATATATAATATATCAAATGATTTATAATGTTTCAATTGATTTAGTTTGATTTGTTTTTACTTTATTTTTTTTTAAAGGCTCTGTACCAAACACACATGTTTTGTTAGATCTGCAGAATAACACTTTTGGGCCTTGATATGTTTGCAGCTACATAATACCTAATTGAATATAGTATTTGAACACATATTTTGCCTTTCAACAAATTGTTTGCCTCCTGCAATCTCCATATTGTTATCTCAGTAACATTTTGTTTTTTGTGCAGCTCTCAGACAGACTGTGTAGAAACTAGGGATGCCAGAAACTGACCATGATCAAAATCGAAAATCGGACAGCCCTGGCGAATATTAATCGATTATTCGACACCCCCCCCCGATATAAATAAAATCGAATTTTAAAAATAATCTTCGATTATGGAGACTGTAACGAATAATCGAATAATCGCTGGCATCCCTAGTAGAAACCAACATTTTCCTTCACTTTCAGTTCCATGAAGGTAACTGTATAACTGCGGGTTGTTTACAACCAGCATAAAAGCCAAAGCTACAAATACCCAACACCTGCTAAACGGCTATTTCCTTTATACTGCTGACTCT